AATTAAATTTGTGTCTTAATTTTTCTTTCTTTTGTGTGTAAGGAAGATGTACAGTTTTTTTTTTTTTTGGAGGAATTTGACTTATAGGATTGAATTCCGAGATCAGATATTTTCAAAGTAGGTTGAGTTTTTCAGTTCATTTGAAGGCAGTGTCGAAGTTAGCTCCTCCTTAATTCCCTAGGGGTTGCTTTCCCTACACAATTTCTTGTTCTCTTTTTTACTTTGCATTTCAGCAGACACATTTAAAAATGTGATCTCTCCTAGAGATCTGCGTTTTTGCCCACTTGTGGGAAAACACCATGAAACACATATATACGTATGTACAAACAGTCACCAATATACAAACTCTTTACGTTCATACACAAACACAAATGTTAATGTCTTTGTCACTTGTAAATTTGTTGTTTAATACATATATTTGTTGACATATATATATCTTGTTTGTTTTCTTTACATCTTTGGTTGGACTCAACTTGAGTCCGCGATGTTCTTGTAGTTGGACCTTCTTCTAGCAGGAATAAACAGCATGTGTTTAAAAATCCAACAATATGCAAACAAACATGGTCCTCTGCAGTAGTAAAGAGAAGTGAGAATGAAAGTTGAAATGAAAAGGTTTATTCTTATTGTTATCAGCTACCATGTCTATTTCCTTTGAAGTTGGGTAATGTCAGGTTTTTCCTTGCTATTGGGGTAAGAGAAGATTAAATGTCATGACTGCTGACTTTCTGTACTAGTCTGGGTCAGTCTATGGGTAGCTATGCCGTTATGTTCTTTTCAAAAGATTGACATCCGTAAAAAGTGGACAGATAGATAGTGTTTCTTTAGTTTCTTTTAAGAGTGCATTAATAGCTGAAAAACAGCTTTATTTTTTGTTTTATTTTATTTTAATGTTGAGCCAATTTGAGCCGGATTTCTCTGACAGACCATTGTTGATTTTGTTACAAAGAAAAGACTGCTGAAATGGCTATGTAATATTAATCCATATATACGTTAGTGAATGCTGGACAATTTCTTCACAAATTTGAGAATCTTAGTATTTTAGTAAGCCTGTGAAGTGAAGTGTAAATTTTGACTGCAGACAGAAAAGATATGAGCAACAGAAATTAAATGAATTTGAAAACTCCTTGATATGTCCACAACAATCTTAACTTCTTTGTCTAGGGTTAGCTATTATCTTTCCTACATATCCTCATAAATGGTGCTTCTTACTTTTTACCCTATTATACAATAACACCATTCAGTAAGTGAGAAGTGTAAACTGGATGATAAGTGAACCTATCTATTCCTATAAAATATTTTAAATTTTGAAGGTCATCATTTCTCAGAATATGGAGTTATGTCTTTAACCCTATCTCATGCACATTATTTTGGTGTTATGGAAAACCATAATTATACACAGCCTGAAGGGACACAGCATATCAAAAATGGAAGCTACTGAAATATCAATTCATATTGGATTGTTGTATCTCCAAATTTCATAAACCTCGGAACCAGAAATTTTCATAAAGTCATGACACCTAGAAGAGGCCCAGCTCATAGAAAAAAAAAAAAATCATCTAACAGTTTAAAATTACTGTATTTTCCGGCTTACAAGATGCACTTTTTCTCCTAAAAATACCCTGAAAAATATGTGTTCATATTCCAAAACAAATGCAAGGCAATGCCAAGGTTCAAGTAAGCTTGGATGGTCACCTAATTGGCTTGACTGATAGGGATGTGAATTTATATGTTGAGTCATTACACTATAATGTTAGCTATCTATCTAAATCAGCCTTTTATATGATGTAACCTCAGTACTTAGCTGTTACAAGTATTTCTAAGACTATAAACCTTCTTGGAGCCGAGCCACAAGCTTAAACATGCTCTGTTTACTAGCAGCAGCAGGAGCCTTTCTACTCTAGACTCTTATGTCATTGCCATACAAACAAAATCGGACGAGTGATTAATGTAAACAATACTTGGTGTCAGTATGTGAGGGACTCATGGTGAATGTGTTGTTGTATGAGAATGACATTTTTTTCTTAGAAATTTCTTTCCCATATTAGGGTGCATTTTCTAACCTGCAGTATCTTGTAAGCTGGAAAATATGGTATTTAATAAAGTTAATATGAAAAAAATCATCTTGCAGTTTAGAATTAATCAAAATCACTTGTGTTCATCATGCAAAAAAACTGTTATGGTTGTTTCATGCTGTATAAAATTATTTTATTGTCTCAAACCAGCTCACAAAAACAGTACAAAGAAGTTCGAAATGCTTAAGAATTTAAATCAAGAAAAACAAACAGTTGATGACTTTGTACTGTTTTACTCAAATTGAGGAGTGACCAAGACTGGTAACTGCTAGCCGAGATATTTCCATAAAAAAGAAAAATTATTCTTTGGGATTACACGTATTTTCTTTCTTTTAATTATGCAACTACCAATGGAGACAAGCATCCTAACTTTGAAGCAGGCATTCTGTCTTCTTGGACTTATGTTTCTTGTTTTTCCTTCACTACCATTTGTACAAATTTTTTAGTTTTCTTTTTGTGTTTACTATCAAAACAGTGTCATCTCCATATCTTATGTTGTAAAGATTTTGGCTGCCAATAATAAATCCTGGTTTGACTTCTAATTCTCTCACCTCACTGTATAGGTTGAAAAAATCTGGTGAGAAGACACATTCTTGTCTTACACCCTTTTCTATTTTTGTATATTTACTGAACTCATTTTCTATCCATCTGCAGGCAGTTTGCTGTCAGTATAGATTCGGGATTATTCTAATATCCTTCCCAAATATGTCAAGATCGCCTAGCAGTTCCATCAACTGTGATGGACTTTATCAAATGCTTTTGCATAATTTATAAAACATAGGTGTATATCCTTTTGTATTTGTATTGCTCTTTCTGTTATCATTCTAAGCATAAATAGTGCATTTCTTGTTTCTATGTATTTAATGAACCCACATATAGGTGATATTTTGGGGTTATTTTTTTTCTTAGAGTTAAAGTGGGACTTATATGTCATGAAATACAGTAACTTATTAACCAAAAATTTCCTTTTCAGCAGTGATTACTCTTCCAATCTTCTTTCCAAACTGTGTACATGATTAATTCATTATATAATGTTGTGTTTTCCTCAAGTAATACAGAATATATGGTCATCAATAAAAGGATAAGCCTGAAATGCAATTTGCAGGTCAGGGATACTAAAATCAAGCATGTGCAGAAGTTTAAATATCTGGGCAGTATTTTGACAGAGGACGGTAAGTGTGACACTGAGATCTGAAGACATATTGGGATGGCCAATGATGCATTCCAAAAGCTGGGTAGAGTATTGTAAGACAGGAGGATTTCTTTGGTAACAAAGAAAAGAGTACTGAACTGCTATGTGACATCTGTCCTCCTTTATGGCAGAGAATGTTGGACACTCTCCTCAAAGATGAAGAAGAAACTCGAGGCAACAGAGGTATGGTTCTACAGAAGGAATCCGATGATATCGCAAACTGAGCGTGTGAGTAATGATGAGATTTTGGAGAGGATGCAAACAAGGAGGAAGCTTATACTTAACAGCATAAAGAGGCAGCTGAAATTTCTGGAACACATAAAGAGAAAGGAGGGCCTGGAGAATCCGATACTCACAGGTCAAATAGAGGGAAAGAGAGACAAGGGAAAGCAATGCATGACATACCTAGCAGGTTTAAGCAAGTGGATGACAAAACATGGTCTGGGGGAGGTGGCAGAGGGACAAAACTTATTGAGAGCTACAAGGGATAGGTGGAAGTGGAGAGCCATGATCGCCAACGTTCTGAAGGGACACAGCATATAAAAAGAAAAAGATTGTGTTACTTTAACCACAATTACCTTCAATTGGTCTACCCAACTGTGAAGCATTCTTCAGCATGAAGTTTCCAGTATGAAACTACACAAACCATTTTTGATGTGTTTAATTATTTGCAGTACCTTCTCCATAAACTGTACAATGTTTTTTTTTAAATTTAAGTGATATTTTTACTGTTCTTAAAACAAAAAATACATAATATGCTAAAAAATTACTTATTTTCTCCTAGCATTAGAAACAGTAAAGAAAATAAATGCTAATTTTGACAAAATGCTTTTTAACACTTCACACTTATATGACAGCAGTTACAATAAAATCAAAATTAATCTTCTTGAATGAAGTTAAAACTAAATGCTTCTAATACCATTGTAGTGGGCTCTGTGTTTATATTAATGATACTTCCATGTACAGGATTCAAGTAATAATAACAACAACTCCAATTTGTTAACCAACAAATATATATTGAATAAAATACAACAAGAAGCATGAAATAATTTTGTATTCACAATGTAAATTGAAGAGAAGGATGTTGTTTCCCTTTAACTGTAGATTAATTGTAATCAACTGTTTGAAGAAAGTTCTCTTGTGAGATAAATGTTCCGAAATAATTGTTAGAACAAAGTTTGCATGTGAAGAATGAGTAACACGAAGAATACAATTGCTTGAAATGTGTTCTGGATAAACTAGTTTGAATCAACAAGGTTCTGGTTGATTGTGCTTGGCAAAAGTTACAGAGAGAAAATGTAAGTTTGTAGTTATGAAATTCTGTGTCTGTGTGTGCGTTGAGCAAGATCGTGGATTTGTGTTGATGGCTGAAATTTTACTGGATCTTACTGGCGACTTGCGAAAAGTCGCCCCTTTTAAGGAAGAAAGGTAGGCTCTCACAGAACTGTGTGAAAACTTGATCTTACATTAAAAATATGTGATTGGTTAAAAATTAACCAATCACTACTCTTGTACTAAACAGAATAGGTAAGTATGCTCAGAACCAAAAGATTCAAAGGAATGACTGTGATGGCTAAATTGTCCTATACAAAGGTAGTAGTAATTTATTAACCAATTGCAGGCAAATAAAATGACTTGGAGTTTATGTGGGTGTGAAAAATATAACAACTGCTATACCATCTAATCTTAAAAAAAGAGAACAATTTATTTTCGCCACTCAGTTTACCAATATGGTT